ATATTTCTTCTTTTTTTTTAAATCAGGAACTGAAGTCATTTATTAAATAGGTTGGAATAATCAACAGGTTTTTGTTTTTTTTCCACAATATATACTTATGTGCTTGCATCTCTGCAAATGTGTAACAACCTGACACTTGGTTTGTTACTTGTAGGGTTACAGGAAGCCATTCCCCGATATGAATAAGGCAACATTTACTCATTCCAACAACGAATGACTATAGAGGTACATTGAATCATAGACGTTACAATGTGAATGTTGATTGATCCTTCAGTACCATCGATGTTCTAGAAATGTCCCATACGTGTAACTGTTCAAAAGTGGTTGTTAAAATACAAAAATTTGGGGGAAATGCATTTTGATGGTATCATACCAAAAACATGATTGTGATTGATAATTTATTTATAACCTGCTGTTTTGATAGTTGCATTGACTAAGTGTAAATCATTGTCTTTAGTAATGCTGTTCTTTCTATGTTAGTGTAATCCCAATATATTGTAGCTATTGACATTGTATGTTTGTATCAGACACAATACACAATGCACAGTACATACACAACCTTTTTCTTTTCCCCATGATGATGGACCTAATCTCATTAAACGCAACACTTCTACTTGACCACATTTGATTTGACCACTCATTCCGATTCTCATACTCATCTAACTGCATCCTGTACTATTGCCCACGGTTTAGCCCCGACATGCAGTATCTAGACGTCACCACACCAAAACCTTTAGGCGGCAGCGATGGCCACGTTTATACCTTCACTTACCGAGTTGTGATCTTACAGTAAGATTTCCATCAGTGTTTATGGGCCCCGAGTTCCAATGTTACAGCAATACAGCTGCTCCTCAGAGGAAAACATCTGGCAGGAGCAACGAACAAACATCCTGTGAACTGTTGTGACACAAAGTCAAGCGCCCTGATAGCAGACACAGAATACCCACTAAATTCACACAGTGAAGGGCTTTAAAAATGTGTGCAAGTGAATAAGAGGAAGCTCCATCTGATCAAACAAGTTAACTTACAGGGAACAAAGTCCTGATGGGTGAGAGCTGAAATGAAAAATTAGCCAAATTGCACTTTGAAAGGTGTGCTGTAATTACTGGCAGTTGTATTTTCTTGGTTTGTAGCCCTTTTCTTTCTTTTTTTGCTGTAGGCAGAAGCACATGTGAGACTTTTTGTATTTGACTGGCTTAATAAATCTATTCTAAATGTCTTTCAGCATCTTACCCTGCTTATTCATGTCCATTTTTTTTTTTTTTTTATTGCACGATAGAAATGTCGGGGCCACAGATTCTCTAAATCATGTTCACTTTTCCATCACACCCTCATAATATTGGTTGTCGCTTGTTTAAAGACAAAAAAAAAAGTCCTCACATTAGTATGTTCTCTGTGATTTATTATAAGTAACATGTAGGATGCAATGGCTAACAGGTCCTGGGATGAGAAGGTGACATGAGGCTGTGGGATCACAGGGCAGCTCGAATGCACTGAAGAGCTGGCCTGAACCCTTAGACTCAGAAGAGGCTCCACAGACTTCCTGTTTTAAAGCCTCCTCTTCATTAAACATGCAGTCTTCATGTATCAGAATCTGTTAACATTACTCATTACAGGTACTTCAGTAGCTGGAGAATACAGTGTGATGAATCAGATCTCGCCTAACGTCTGCTGTGTGAACAGCTGGAACAGGTAATGGCGAATGTCAGCTTCGACCTTAGAAACGGGGACACTCGGGTGCCACCTCATCACCGGCTTCCCGTCTGGACCCACCAGAAACTTTTCAAAGTTCCACTTGATGTCGCTGAGTTTCACGGGCGTCCAGAACATTCTGGCAGGGTCACCGAGGAGGTCGGAGACTGGAGGGCAGGAGCTCTGCACGACAGAAAGCACAGTGTTATATAATGAGAGAGCGACAAAGTCTGAGCACCTTTAAGTGAGCAACCTTACAGAGCTGTACGTTATAGAAATAGACAGCTGAGATATTGAATACATAAACTCCTCGCACTTCATCCATGATAGGAAACCTAGTGAGTGAGAATGTTTTCCAGTGGATCACAAATCAAAAAGCTATTAATAGCAGTTTACAGCTAATGAATCATTTGTGCACAGCTGGAGTGCAGCACACTACAGTATACATGTAAGCTTTTCAAATCACACAACGTACCTTAAGGAAAGTGAAAACCCCTTGCTCGTCTTTTCCATTCACGTCACCCTTCTCAAACAGCAGGAAGTTCGGGACGAATTCATTGCCTGGTCTAACATGCCTGGAATCCAAAAAGAGGGCAGCTTATCAGTGGACGTGCCTGTGAGCACTTTGTGGCTCGGCAGCTGCCCTACATTCACTACGAGCTGAGAATAAAAACACAAGCCTATTGCAGTGGCTTTGCTTTGGGTATAAGACGACTGGTGGAACCTAAGACATACATTCTATGCGTGTTAAAGCCTCGAACAGAAACTGATCTTACTGCCAAAGGATGCTTTCCTTCATTAATGAAGCTTTGTTGATTGACAGAGGATTTAAGATGATTGCAAATTCCTCTCTACATCCAGCTCCGAAGGCTCTTATGTTACAGAACATTACAATGTATACCGTCTTGTGACTCACGTTTAAAGGGATTCTCGTGTTTCCACATCTACAAGCTGAAGAAGGTTTATACTGCTCTGAAATTAAAGCTTATTGTTCAGTTGGTTGGGTTTATAGTGTTTTCAGGCTGACCCGACATGGATTTGCATTCAACGAGAAACATTGCTCACTTTAAACCGGGAAGAATTTCATGCCTCTGCCCTGGTTCCTGTTTCCCAAATTGGTTGCTGGGAAAGCCCAGGATGGTTAGTCCGTGAGGTTTCAGCTTCTCGTGTAGTGCATTCAGGTCTGATAAAAGGAAAAGAAAATGTATTCAGATAGAGAAGCTTGTTTTTGTTTTTAATACTGCAACAGAAAATAATGCTGCTTGTCGAGCCGTTTCTTACCCGGGTACTGGAAGGCGAACCCTCAGTACGTGGCCACGTTGATGAAGAGGACACTCTTGCCCTTGAAGTCACTGAGGTTCACAGTGCGACTCTCGTTTAGAGTCTTCGCCTGGTATTTGTAAATAGTGTCATCTGTGGGTTCACACCGCTGGGGAGTGGAAAGACGGGTCAGAGCACGTTAGGTTTGCTGTAACTGGCCATAGGCCAACACGATCATCGGCATATTTTGGCTGATAAAAGATGATATATATAGTGTAACAAATTGTATATACACATATACGTATATACATACACATATACATATACACATACACATATACGTATATACATACACATATACATATACA